TACCGTACGAACTCGCCGATTCACTGTTCGGACTCGCCGATTCCGTACAGTGAATCGGCGAGTCACTGTACGGAATCGTCCGGTTCTCTCTAGAACCGAACGATTTCCGATTTTTCAACCGATCCGATCCCTTTTCGCAAATTCTGAGTCGAACCGGGCGAGTCCGGTTCGACTCGGCGTTTTTTAAAACGCTGCTCGAAACCATATCTTTTCTCTCACTCTTTTTCATAAGACTCACATAAGGGACACACCCCACATATTGGATCTATTTCTCTCTCCATAGAAACTCTCTCTCTCTACATAGAAACCCTCTCTCTCATATAGCAACTCTCTCTCTCTCTCTCTTTCTCTCTCTCTCCTTACGGTAAGCAAAAGGGGCACGCTCCGCTCATGGTTGTTTTGATCTTTGTTCTCTCTCCCATCTTGTTGTGATATGGCCTAAAGGGTTAAGGGTGTAGTAAGGCAATGCTATCTCTCTCAACTATGTTATCAAGGAGTTTTGCTTAAGTTTGAAGTTTTAGATTGAAATGAGTTCTTGTTCCATTGGAGGGTTTGGCCTAAATTTGTTTTCCTAATATTTAAATTGAAGGTTGACTATTGATCTCGCCCATCGGAAGGTGGTGACTCGGTATGGGGTGTGAGCTGTTCGATTGAGGTAATCTCCAGCATTCTCTTTATTGTTTCTTGTCATATTTACTTCTTGTGTTTTTTTTTACTTCTAAGCATAGTTTGTAACTTTCTTTGGTTATTAAAAGAAAGGTTTATAGTAGCATCAAGTTTTGAGATCCTAAATTTATTTATTTTGTTTTTTTTAAAATTGATTCATTATAAAAAGGCTACTTGTGAGTGATCTAAGCCGTGAAGAAAAAAAAAATGAATAGAAACAAAAGAATATATATACACCGACTAGATCACATAAAGTTCTTCTTTTAGTTAAACATACACCGACTAGATCCCAGACTTGGGTCAAGACAAACATGGCACATGACCATGGAGTTCAAGTTGAAGGGGTCGACTCGATCCAGTCTCAGTGAGAAACCAAGTTTACAACGTAACAATATTAGAATGGCCCCAAAGTGTAAACTTGAGTGACTCTTGTGGAATTGACTCGGGACTCGCCAAGGTCCCAATGGAGTTGACTCCAGTGAGTCCCGTGTCAACTTCTCGAGTTTTAAAACATTGCATATTCACGGATGCACATTGACTCAAGCGAATCTTGAGTCGACTTCCCGAGTTTGAATACACTGCATATCCATGGGTTTTAAAACTTGTTTGTTTAAGAATACGGCATTTTCAGAAAAAAAAAAAAAATCTATGCTCTTTTTGAGATACCCTTGAAAAATGGACTGATTTTCATCAATGTACACAATTGAACATTGCTATCCATAAATACATAAACCATTATTAGATGCATGAAAAAAATAGCGAGCCTAATGGAAACCCTTCATACTTCCTCAAATGTTCCTTGTAGTGAATATCATCTAAGCAAAAAAGACCTAAGTTCTCATAGATTAAAAGTTGTAACATCCTGCTTCTTTTAGCTTTCAAAAGATGTGACAGGGTTTGTCACCAAACACAAGGTTAAACCAAATTGGTGGTATACATCAATCCACTGATTTACAAGATTACAAAAGAGAAGAGGTCACCACGCATATCTCTTGTATAGCTTATAACCTGAGAGGATGGCCAAGATGGCCATGGATAAGAAAGCCAAAAAGGACATGGTCAGAGAAGCAGTTGCCAGCTTGCCGAGCATAGTTCCCCTATCGTTCTCGTCTATGGTTGCCGGCATTGCCGCCGAGGAGGAAGAGATGAGTAGGTAGCAAACCAACTGTTACCATCATGCTCTTACCATATATAGTACTTATCTCCTTGCTCTTGCACTTTGAATTATTACTACTACTAGTTATCTCTTACCACTGCTACTAGTACTACAAATGGTAATGGGCAAAGTCATGATATTTCCTCTAGAAATCTATGGTCATGAGGGTCATCACTGATCAACTGATGTTTGGATGGTGATGGAGAAAGAATAGCATCGGTGGACCAATTAAGAAGGCCAACCCCCCTCTACATCATTGTCCAACTATTGATTGGTCCTCGATGTTCCTCATGACCGTAAATTTCGAAGGATTGGTGAGGAGTATAGTAATCCTTACCAATTGTTATTTTGACATTTTTCTTTGAGTAGGTACAACTGACAGTTTTATTGGCAGAAAGATGGCTACCTAAGCAACCTTGCATGCCTTTCTGTTAGAAGAAAATCCATGTGTTGCTTATTGGAAGCCAAAGGAAGTGATCGAATGATCGCGGTTCATCGGGGTTAAGACGGGCCGGGCTGATCCAAACCATTGATAAAAAAATGATCCGGACTGTTATCCACAAACCAATAGTCCCAATGAGCCTGGTTCATCTAAACCCGATGACCTGAGCTCACTGTGCCTTTCCTACCACCAATAAATAAGGCTAAATGAAGCACAAACAGTAATAGAAGATAAACTATTCCAATTTAGAAGCTTAAAAAGAAGATATAAATAAGTGAAAAAACAAAGATGGGTCATTTTCTTAACCTGGTCTAAGGGAAAGGTGAGGCAGTCATATATGGCGTCTGGTATGAGGATGCTTATTGAAGCGATGTCCCATATTCCTTTGACCAGTTGCGTTAAAGAGTAGAAGGAGGCCACCATGCACACACCAACGCTATACCTGCTTCAATGTTATTTTATAAGCTGGGGTTCTTATAACAAACAATATATGTTCTTTTTATACCAAGTGTGTATTTTTATATGAAGTATGTATTGGTAGGTTTCTTGGGTTCAAAGTACAGCACATAGGGTTCAACAACCCCCTTGGAAAATGTCTTTAAAATGGTCAAACTATTTCCAAAAATCGCTAAGGTAGCCAAATAAATTATCAAAAATAAAATAAGTTATTGTAATAAGATCATTTTATGCAAGTAGTTCAAGAAAAGAAGATCATTTCACTCAAGTATCAGCTTGGTTTTTCATTAAAAGATGCTCACGTTCATAATTTGGAATCCGAACAAATAGAGATATTTTAAGAATTTGGCTAATAACACCGTCGGGCAAATAATCAAAATACTTTTCTTCTATGGAATGTAAACTGAGAGAGAGAATTTGAAACCTAAAACAAGTAGGGACAGTTTTTACATTTGGCCAAGGTTACTAAAGTCCATCAAATCACATAAATACCTCACACTTGTTTTGGGTTCCAAATTGTGATCAAGATCATCATCATGATCATCCACCATCGAGCCCTATTAAAGGTCCTATCTTCAGTGAAACCATAAGTCTTCATATCTTTTAAAACTACATCCACATGTCCTTTTGGGCTTACCCCTTGTCTTTTTAAGTCCTTCCAAATTGAGACCATGATATTTAATGAAAAAATCTGTTTGAGGTTTGGAATCCAAGCCAAGCAAACGTATTTACTTTGGCTTGTAGTAATTCATTTAGGTAAAATGGTCAAAAAAGATTTAGGTGGGTATTTGTTAAAGGGTGCGGTTCGTATAGTGTCGAGGTTCTAAACAATCAAAGTAAAGTGCACATTTAAATAGTATTTAGAAATGTGGTTTCAATACTAAAAATCTTTGTGATAGCCTTAAAATATATTTTCATATCTAATTATAAAATTTAAAGCTTCAAAACTAGTGTAGACCGAGCAGATTTATGAAAACTTGAAAATCTTCAAAATTAATGGTCCAAAAATGCATTTCAAGATGTACTATTTCCAAAACTTGAAATCTATTTTTTTCTCATGTCCATGCATCTTGAGGTCGAGATGATCAATTTGATGATATTTGGGCATCAAAACAACCTCTTCTAGTGAAATTTTTAAGGAGCGCCCTAACTTAATTGTTTAGAGCCATGCACTTTTATAAACTTTCCTTTCTTAAAAATAGTTGAGAAAGTAATTGAGTGAAATTCTTTAAAGTAACCATTTTCTACACCTCACCTATTTTAATGAGTCCTCTCTTCAAAGTCTATTCTAAATATGGATTTTAGATTCAAAATTTTAGGAAAAGAAAATCTCAATTATGATGAGCAAGAATCTGAAAATGAATAATTAATTAAAAATAAAAATAATTTTTTTTATAGAATTTTAATTTAACCCTTACAGTGGTGTTTTTAAATGATTTGGGTTTAGATTTGGGATTTAACGATATTTCATAGAAGTAAGGGCATATCATCATCATCATAGCCTTTTCCCAATTAATTGGGGTTGGCTATACGAATCTTAGTCCAACATTCCGCTTTATTAAAAGTCATACCCTCAGTGAGGCCATAAGTCTTCATATCTTTTCGGACTACTTCCAACCATAACCTTTTGGGCATACTTCTTGTCATTTTCAGTCCTTCCACTTGAACTAGCTGGCACCTCTTAACAGGTGTTGTACTTGGTAAACACCACACATGGTTAGTCCACCTGAGTCTACTCTCTCTCATCTTATCACTTATTGGTGCCACAACTAAATTTTCTCAAATGAATTTATTTCGAATTCTATCCCTTCTTGTCTTATCACCCATCCATCTGAACATCATCATCTCTGCTACACTCATTCTATGGGTTTATTGTTTTTTGTTCGCTTAATAATTTGCCCCATAAAGCAAAGTTGATCTCACAACGATGCTATAGAACTTACCCTTCTGATTCATTGGTATACAATGATCACATAAAATTCCAGTTGCACATCTCCACTACACTTACCCAACTCTAATTTTGTGTGTGTCATTAATCTCTCTACTTTCCTGGATTATCGATCCAAGATATCAAAAGCGTTGTCTTTTTTGTATTTTCTAGCCGTCAATCTTATTATTACTAAACTTGCATTCCATATACTATGTCATAGTCCGGCTAATTTTAAAAGCTATGGATTCTAGGGCATCCCTCCAAAATTCTAACTTCGTGTTGATGCCGTTTCAGTCTCATCAATCAAATCTATGTCATCTACGAATAACATACACCACGGTACCTTATCTTGTAAGTGCCTAATTAAGTCATTCATAAAGACATGTGTTCTCATAAAATATACGAACATAATTTGAAGGTCAACATGTTTCTAAATAACTAATTACTTGACATTTTAATGATATTACGTTGAAGTGAGGGCATGTACCCTCATAACGTATACTAGCCTAAGTTAAGGGTTAACAGGTTTCTAAATAAATTATTATATAACCAATACTTGCTTTTGGACCTTACTCATTGATTCCCAAGTCAATTGGACAAGGGTTGGGGTTAAGGGAGGGTTGGGGTTAAGGGAAATATCTATTTTTTAAGCACATTGATTGAAGGGTATAAATGGGTGTTGTTACTAAAAAACAGGTATAAAGCTAGGAAACTTATCGAATTATTTTAACTTTTTATCCATTTCTTTTAATCAAACATTTTTATTCCGAGCACATATAGTTTATTTTTGGGGTCACAATTAATATTGACCATTGGATGTGAAATTGAAGGCTGTATTTATTCCATTAACGAAGCTCAAAGTTCAAAAGATTTTTTCTCAAAATTAGTGATATATCCAAATTATCAGATTTTACAACAGATGGCTATGAGTAATGGTGATCTCTTTGTACCAAAGATAAATATCATTATTAACAATCTCGTAATTGAGGACCCCAAATTTTGAGCTCTTCAAACGGCATGCTAACTTTACCCAAAGAAATTTTCAAATTGAACTCTCTATATATTAAAAATAATATATCTAAAGATTGAATAGAGACCATCCAATATTTGAAAAGCGAGATCTAAGAGTAGGAAAACTCAAGAGTCAAACTCTTCTTTTAAAAGTAATCATCTATAGATTATTAGGTGGTTCTGAAAAATTCTCCAACTTTTGACTTAGGGTGTAGAAGCACATTATGTACTCTCACGGGAGAGCACTGTTCGCGCTCTGTATAAAAATAGCCTCCCTTCGAAATGAAGAGGTTCTCAATTAAGAGATCAAGCAGCATCTTATGAGAAGTTGCAGGTGGGTTGACATAATGAGATTTGGAGAGAGAGAGAGAGAGATCAAGTAGCACCTTATGAGAAGTTGCAGGTGGGTTGACATAATGAGATTTGGAGAGAGAGAAAGAGAGAGCTTGTAATGGGTAGTTGGAGATAGAGAGAGGGTTGGGTGGAAGGAGTACATACCGATATTGGAAGTAGTTGGAGGAGGAATGGTGGGGAGAGCGTGGAGCAGTGAGGATGAGGGCGGAGAGGAGAGACAGAAAGAGAGAGAGAAAGCGGAGGAAGAGGTTAGAGAGGTGCAATGGTGCGACGCCTGTTGCCCCGGCGACAGCGATGATGGATTCAGAGAAGGGAGAAGGGGTTGTGTAGACTGCTCGCTGTTGTCCTCCCTCCAATTGCAACCCACCCATTGACGATCCTCCTCTTAACCCACCGCCCGCCATATTACTCTCTCTCTCTCTAGAACCAGAAGAAACACTCCACAGAGATGCCGATTTTCTCTTCTCTCTCTACCAAGTGATCATCTCTCTCTGTGTTTCGGAGATGCTAATAATCTCTCTCTCTCTCTCTCTCTCTCTCTCTCTTGGAGATGCTGATATTATTAACCTTTTTCCCTCACCAACACTTATTTAACAAACTCATCACGTCAACGCCTGTTCCATACTTTTCTACCGATCTCATTTGGTAATTTATTGTAGAAGAAGACGGCAGAAACTTCATTTAAGATTTTTCAATTCATATTTTAACAGATGCAGTTTCCATGAGGCTCAGTCCTCACAAAAAAAATTTGTAATTTTTGTGGGCTTTCACATTGACTTCGCTTTTTTGAACATAAGACTGAACCTTATTTTCCTTACTTATTTCCCATGACACGCTTCGTCAAAGACGCCATCACATCACGTCACCTACCTCAAACCAAGCCTTTGGCCGGTATCCAATTAGACCATCTATACCAATATTTTTTTTTTCGAATAAATTTACGTAAGGTCGCAACTTTAAAATATAGAATTAAGGCGTATTTTAAAACAAAAAAAAGTTTATATACGGTTGCAACCTCAAAACGTACAAATACGGATGCACGGTTATCAAACATCGTGATGTATGAATATCAAACCAAAAAAAAAATTCCAATCTAAAAAATAATGTATTTTACAACACATTATTCAGACCGTCCATCTTCATAATTTTTATGTGTTTATATATTTGCTTGATTTAAACTATTTTTAGAGTTTTATGGCATGTTTGGTTTTTTAATATTAGAAAACATTTTCAAAAGAAAAAAATTCTCACATTCGGTCAAGTGTAGGAATATTTTCATGCTAATGGGTGTTAGTACATATTTTCACACTAATTGAAAACTAATTGATGTAAAAATACTTCCACATTTGACCACATGAGAAGATTTTTCATGAGAATATGTTTTCTAGAAAACAAACATGCTATTAAATTTTACATTTAGTGATGAAAATAGATTCTCATACTATCCTAAAAACTTTTGACACCAAAATTATATATTATGATAAAATTTATAGGTGCACCTTACGTTATTGTTTAAGGTTGCAACCTTATACAGACCGCATCTTTTTTAACCCTAAACTTTAGGGATAACATTGAAGCCAAAAGATATTCTACTCCCATAGGACTAGAATGTCAATTTACTCCCTATAGTAAAACCCACTTAGAATTAATTTTAGGACCCTAAATTTTGGATAGTAACTTTTTCAACCCATAGACTAAATTCAACAAAAAAAAAAAATCCTAATTGTAATCTCCATGCATTTGAAAAAGATAATGCCTCAAAATTGACCAATGACCAATGGTTTAAAAACGGATCGGCGACCCTGATCGGGCTTCCAAAAAACCGAACCGGATCGGTGCATCGGCTATCCGGATCGGGAATAGGGTGAATCAGTCAGAATGAAGCTTAAAAAAAATCCGAAAAAATTATTAAAATTCATTATAAATATTGTTTTTTAGGAATTCAATAAGAAATGAGGGTACTCCATTAAGAATTTTCATGTTTTTGAATGAATATGCGAATATTGATATGTTCTTTCCCTACATGAACCGCCATTCAGCATTTAATTTACATCACACAAAAGGATAAACATATAATTATCATGGAATAAGTATATCAACATACATGGACTACAATAAAGCATAAAATTAGTAACATATGATCTAAAAATAAAATGATAGACGACGTTATTGTTCTTCTTGGTCATGCTGGTGCCATTGATTGAATTCGTTTAACAATTCATTGATTCGATCTAAAAACGAATCATCAATATTAGCAGATGTCTGACTATTCCCAAATCCCTGAATGTTAGTGTTTTGTTGTGTTCCCAATCTAAACTCCTCGAAGATTGTCCATCCTTCATGCTCACATGTACTGTCGTGCTCATCCCTACACTGTTGCTGTTGGGACTCGATATGTGAAAAATATGGCTGGGATAGGGTGGCCTCAGAATCATCATCTCTCTCATTTTCTCTTTGAATAATATGCAATTAAAAAAAAAAAAACAAATTTTCAAAAAAATCGATCATGGATTAAAAAAAAAAAATCACAAATTTTCAAAAAATTCTATTATGGATTACAAAAAAAAATTCGATCATGGATTAAAAAAAAAAATCACAAATTTTCAAAAAATTCAATCATGGATTACAAAAAATTCGATCATGGATTACATAAAATTCGATCATGGATTACATAAAATTCGATCATGGATTACAAAAAACAATAAAAATAAAAAAAAACAAAAAATTCAATCGTGGATTACAAAAAAAGAAAAAAATAATTCGATCATGGATTACAAAAAACTCAATCATGGATTACAAAAAACTCTATCATGGGTTACAAAAAAAGCAAAAACAAAAAATTCGATCATGGATTACAAAAAAAAAACAAACATTTCGATCATGGATTACAAAAAAAAAACAAACATTTCTATCATGTATTACAACACATTCGATCATGGATTACAAAAAATTCTATCATGGGTTACAAAAACAAAAAATTCGATCATGGATTACAAGAAAAAAAACAAACATTTCGATCATGGATTACAAAAATTCGATCATGGATTACAAAAAATTCTATCATGGGTTACAAAAAAG